CGCGGGCCCGGAGAAGGATTGTGGGACTGCGGGCCGGCAGGGCAGGGCGCACGCGCGCGGCGGGGCGCGGGCCCGGGGGTGCGGCCCGGGGCGCGGGGCGCAGTAGGGCGCGGGACCCAGCACCGCCCTGGGGAGGAGCCGCGGCGGACCGAAGGCCGCGCTGGCTCTGACGAGTTTGCCTCGCGGAGTGGGCTTAGCACGGGCTCCGAGAACCCACCCTGCGAGGTCTCGCCGCGTCCTCGCCGCGTGGAGCTCCAGCTGCAGGTGAAGGTGCCCAGAGGGCCCGGAGGCGCCGCACTGCTCCGGGCAAGCTCCGAGCCCTGAAAAACTGCGCTTCTCCTGAGCGAGGTGGGCCCAGGACTCGGGGCCCCCGCGGGTCTGCGCGCTCCGCCGGAGGACTCGGCCGCCCCAGCCCGAGACTCGCCGGGGCCTGGCTCCTCCCGGAGGACCCCACTCTACCGCCTCCGCTCCTGGCCTCCGGGTTGAGCACCGTAATAAGCAGAGACCTAGAAATAAGCCCAGTCCTAGAAATTATCCCTTCTCTTTGCTTAGCAGAAAAACCTAGGACAACTGTTTTTACCTGATGGTCTTTAACCGAGCTTGAGGACCAGTTTCCATTTGAAACACTAAGGCCGTGAATCGCGGTGTGCAGCCGCGGAGGGCAGAGATTCTCCTAGGGGGTTCTACTTCCTCTGGGGACCTTGGCCTGTTTCCCTGGAGCCCCACTCCCACCCCTGCCGATAACTAGATGGAAACCCCGAAAAGACGGGTAAGAAACTGTTTGAAGTCTCAGAAACAGCACCACCCCCAAGAGCTCGCTCTCTGGGGAGCCAAGGCAGCCCCTACAATTTCTTGTGTTCCTTGGAGTGTGGCAATATTTATTTATTTATTTGAAGATTTTTGCCTATCACTCTGTATTTATAGATATTTATAAAAATTTAATCTCACTTTTTCCTTCTCTTGAAAAATAAAATTTATCTCAGCTTCTACTGTGAGTCTTTTTTGTATTACTATATAAAACACATCCACTCATGGGAATAAAAAGGGATTATGGAGGGACAAACAGTAGGGAAACCTGGAGAATGCGAAATTGAAAAGGCTATCAGAATTTGGAAACAATGACATTTTACCAGTACTGGATTTCTGGTCACTCTAACCCTAAAGTGTTTCCTTTTGAAGAGAGAATATTTTATTTGAAAAATTCACACTGACACAAGCACATCAATATCTCAGTACCCAGAGGCTACCTTGTGTCAGTCAGCTTTCCATCCCTTTAACAAATACCTGAGAGGTCGACTTATGAAGAGTAAGTTTCCGTTTGGCTCATAGTTTCAGAAGGTCCAGTCCATGGCCCATTACTGACAGGCTCTGGCAGGGGGCAGCACATCACAGAGGGGGGTGTGGTGGAACAAAACCACTTATCTGGTGGCTGGGAAGCCAAAGGGGAAGAGGAAGGGGCCGAGGTCCCAGTACCCCTCAAAGCCAAACCCCAGGACCACAGTCCCTCCCACAGGGTCTTAAAGATTCCACTACTTCCACTGGTGCCCCGGGGTGGGGACCCAGGGAACATTCGAGATCCAGATTAGAGTGCACACACTGCACACATACACGGCGTCGCTGCCCTGTGGCATGTGATTGGGGGCCACCAAGATAAAGAGAGTTTATCAGTTACAAGTCAGTGCCATCTGTTTTTGAGGCAGATGTTCCTAAAATTCCTTCTTTCATCTCCATCTGGCTACCAGAACCCCTGAAGCAACAATGCTTATTACACCTTTGCATCTCTCTGTGTTCAAATTCACATCAGCTCAGGCCTCTAGTTATTCCTTATTACCTGACTTTAGCCTTCAGCTGCTCCCTTTTTACAACTACTGTAAAAGAACTGGCGTAGTCCACTGTTTGAGCTGGTGTTCAGATCATCACCAAAGTCTGCAAAGGGGATTTTCTTCTGATTATGGCTCTTTTAGAAGCCAGAGTCCTCCACCTTACAGACAGACTCAGCTGGTGGATACCAGAGCACATCAGAAAACATTTTATTTCTTTGGCCACACAAAAACAGACTTACAAAGGCAGATTATTACTGTTTCAAAAGTTCTCTCCAAGTTTTCTGGAAACAAATGACTTGGTGTTAGCTTATAAAGTTTATCCCTCTATTGTGTTTCAGAAATAAAAGCCCAGTGCATCTGGTGATTGTTAATTGTTCCACAGGACCTGAAAACCTACAGAGAAGGAGCATCACCAAAAGAATCCTGTGGGAATAAACAGGTCTTTGTTTCCTTCTAAAAAGAGAATTAGGAATAGGAAGAAAAGGTCCAAAGGGGTAGGAGAAGTTGTAGGGGCAGGGGAAAGGAAAGAAGGGAAAGGAAAAATTATGAGAAAAGGAAAAAATGGAAACAAAGTCTTCGTAAATAGGGAAGGGTGGAGGGGGTGAAGGGAGGGCAGGGAATGGGGAAAAAATAAGAACCACGATACATCATGTAAAAGTACAAGATCCCAATGATGAATGTAACTGTATTGTATACCTGAAATGTACCAATAAACTAAATGGAGAAAAAAGAAAAAATATAGTCAGTAGACACCAACCCAGACGCTAGCATCAGCAGGCGAGAACTTTAAAGCCACTATTGAGTATATGTTTAAGGATTTTTTTAAAAAAGTATAATCACAGTGAACAAACAGGTCAAGAATCTCCAGAAAGAAAAGAACAAAGATTAAATAGAAATTCTAGAATTAAAAAATGTATCTGGGCCGGGTGATGCATGCTTATAATCCCAACACCGGGGAGGCTGAGGCAGAAGGGTTCAAGGCCAGCCTGGGCTACACAGAGAGCCCTGTCTTAAGGAAAAGAAAATATATATATATATTACTTGAAATGAAAATTTTACTAAATGGGCTTGACATCAGAATGGAGATAAACAAGGAAGGGTCATTTCAGATAAAGAAAGGTAATGTAAATTATCTGAAGAACAGATAAGTTTTATAAAAACAAACAGAATCTCGTGTGAGATATTATCAAGCTTTCCAACACACGTGTAAGCTGAGTCTCAGAGAAGAGCAGAAAAGTTTGGGGAATAAGAAACATTTGAAGCTGTGCATGGTGGTGCACACAAGATAAGTACAAAGAAGATCACATTCAGCTCTATCATAATCAGACTACTAGAAACCACAGAAAAAAGAAATTTCTGCTGCTGCAGAAAAATGAGACTTTAGAGGGGAACAGCTACATGAACAATGGTTGATTTCTCATCACCAAAAAATGGAATCCAGAAGACAGTGGATACATAGAAATGGTTGAAAAAATACAATAAAAGCACCCTGTTTACAATTGTATGTACAGAAAAATATATCCTTCAAAATGAAAGTGGAATAGGGCTGGGGATTCAGCTCAGTGGTTTCATTGCCTGCCTGGCAAGCACAAGGACCCGAGTTCAATCCCTGGTACCAAAAAAAAAAGAAAAAAAAGTGGAATAAAAACTGAGAGAAATTGTTATCAGGGTGAAAACAGATGGAAATTTAGAATTACAGGAAAAAGGAGACCATCAGAACTCATAAATTTTAAGTAAATTTTTTTCCAGTACCAGGGATGGAACTCAGGACCTTGTGCTTGCCAGGCAAGCGCAGTGCTGCAGAGCTACATCCCTTTCCCTGTGAGTAAATTTAAACAACTTTTTATATTGTCTACCTTCTTCCTGTGAGTTCCTTAAAACACTGCTTGAGGCAAAAATTCTAACACTGTGTAGGGTTTATAACATATCTAAGGTGTAATACATATGGCAAAATTCCCATGCAGGATGGAAGGCACAAGTGAAATAGTATGGTTATGTAATCCAGCATTGCACATGAAAGTCATAAAAGTCTCGAAATAGACTGTGTTAAGTTAAGGATGCATATTGCAACCCCTAAAACAGCCAGTAAAATAATAATGATAATAACAACAATGCAAAGCAGTATGGGTAAAAACCCAATATAAGTATTAGAATACAAAAGGTATTTAGTTACTTTAGAGGAAACCAACAAGGCAGGCACTAAAACAAAATTCAAATGGGACAAACAGAGAAATGATAGATTAAATCAAATAACACTAATAATCTCATTAAATATAAATAACCAAACACTACAACTAAAGGCAGGAATGGTCAATCTGGATTAAAATAAGTTTTTTATTGTCTATAAAAGATGCACATGACAGAAAAGGATGGATAGATATGCAGTAAAAACCATAAGCATAATAAATATCATACAAAATGGGCTTCAAGACAAGGAATAATATAATAAATATTTCCTAACAATAAAAGGTCTACATTGATATCATACAAAATGGGCTTCAAGACAAGGAATAATATAATAAATATTTCCTAACAATAAAAGGTCCAGTACATCTGGAAGATACAAAGTTTATAAATGTTTCTGTCCCTACCAACAAAGCAACAAAATGCATGAAGTGAAGGGAGAAAGAGCAAGTGCAAATCTTAGTTGGAAATGTAAACACTCCTCTCTCAATAACCAATTAAACAAGTAGGCAAAAAGTCAGTGCAGATATGGGTATCTGAACAGCACTGTAACTAACTTCATCTAACTGATGCTTACAGACCACTGAAGTCAGTGACTACAGAATGCATTCTCTTTCAAATGCAAATGGAAAGTTCAGGCCAGGATTTAGCTCAGTGGCTCAAGGTCCTGAGTTCGATCCTCGATCGCTGGTACCAAAGAAAACAAAACCAAAAAACCCTAATTAACAAATGGAAAGTTCATCAGGCTAGCTCACATGCTGAGCCAACAAACAAGTCCTAATTAACTTAAAGGTTCAAAAGCTCTCTGTTCAAATAATTAGAGAGCTATAACAAGAAGATACTTGAAAAATCCTCACATACTTTGAATTACCACATATATAACAATGCATAAATCAAACAAAACCCCAAAGGTAAAAGTAGGCAATATTTCTAACTAATTTGTAATGAAAGCACAACACACCAAAATTTGTGGTATGAAGCTTAGAGTATGCTTAGAAGGAACATAACATTTTAAAAGTTTATATTATAAAGAAGAGCAGCCGGACATGGTGGCGCATGCCTGTAAACCTGGAACTCGGGAGGCTGAGGCAGGAGGATTGCCTCAACTTTGAGGCCAGCTTGGGCACACAGCAAGGTTTTGTCTCAAAAAAAAAAACCAGCCAGGGATTTAGCTCAGTGGTTTTGCCGCCAGCTTTGCAAGCGCAAGCTCCCAAGTTTGGTCCCCAGTACCAAAAAAAAAAAAAGATACATGCATCAAACAAACAAAACAGAGCTTAAAAAAAGAGAAAGGCTCATCAATCTGCTTTTTCCTTAAGAAGGTGGGAAAGAAAAAAGAGGAGCAAATTAGGCCCCAAATAAGGAGATGGAAGGAAATCACATAAGTAAGAGAAGAAAACAGTAAGTTAGAAAACAGACAATAGAGAGGTTGATTTAAAAAAATGAATCCAACTGAAAAATCTTTAGCCAAGAACATTAAGA